GGGGATAAGAAGAAGAAGAGTATAAAAAAGGAATGGGGAAGGGATTGATATATGGTAGAGAGAATACAAATGTTATATTTTGGTTCTTTGAAGTTTGTCTTCAATTGGTTTTTTTTTTTGTGGTACATGTTCTTGTTCTGTCTGTACATTTGGTTGAATAAATTATTAAAAGGAAAATCCCCATAATGTTTGATACTTAGCAACTCCCATTCTTTACATGTACTGTTTTAGAATCTCAAGTACAATCCAAGAAGAAGGCTAATGCTAACTTCATGTGTCGATTGATTTTTGTGCTTGCTACATGTTATAAATAATACTGTATGTTTATAAATGATACCAACAAAATATTTGTAATTTTTAAATGCAAATTACAAAATGGAATACTATATGATCATGAAATTGTTTCATTTCTTTTTGCATATGACGACAGAAAATTGGGACTTAGAGCATGTCCAATCCAAAATTTCATTTTTTACTCTAAAATAGAGTTGTGTTTTACTACAATTCTACTACATTGAGTGAAGAGTAAAAAAATGAATTGATAAATGAGATTACTCTTCTACATTGTACTCCATTTTGGAGTAGGAAATGGAATAAAGTTAAAGCAAATTTGATTCTAAACTCTATTTTAGAATGAAAAATAGAGTGAGGTTCGAGATACCATTGTTGTCTGTGTGGAAGGTAAACACTTATTTTTATATTTTTTGTGCGAGTCACTATCGTGCGACTGGTTGGTAAAATTGTAGAAATTCGTATAGGCTATAGTCAATGGCAACGTCTATATTATTTACGAAGATGATACTCTTAACCTTTTTATTTATACTCATAACTTTTGTTTTACTTGATACTCCAACAGTCCAACATATATAACTTTTCAAATTACCGCATTTTCAGTTATTTATTTTGCAAGTCTTCTTTCAATAATAGGCGTTGCTTTTTGAGATTATAATTTAACGAGATTATTATCTTCTTTAACAAAAAAAATAAAAAAATACTTGAGACTATTATCTTGAAAACCATGTTTTAAT